CGTCGTGAGGGATAAACACCCTGTCGTGTGGCCCGATCTGTTTACGAGTTAGCCTCTGGCCGGCCAGGGTTGTGCAGGTTGTGTGTGTGTGTATATGTGTGGGTTTGTGTCTGAGAGTGTTGGGGAATGTGTGATGGAGGGATTACAGGCGAGCTGGCCGCTGCTTTCATGAGGAAAATACAAACAAACACAGGCAGAATGTTAGACAAGCTCAATGTTTAGAAGGGTTTTTTGTGGGGGCGGAGGGGGGATAGGTTTGTCTTCAAAGTAGCCTGTTGTCTATTCCTATTAAGATGATGGCTACCATATCATGGCTTTAAAGGACACTCTGTCCGTTTATCACCTTCTCTCCCTAACTCTCTCTCTCTCTCTCCAGAGTGAATTGTGTTGATAGTCTCTGTGGTGCGATTGACATTCTCTGTTAGTTCCGCTGTGTGATCCTGCTGGTGGTTGGTCCATCTTTAGCCTCGTGGGAAAGGTCTCCACCCAAATCCACATCTATCTCTCTATCTCTCTCTCTCTCTATCTCTCTATCTATCTATCTATCTATCTATCTATCTATCTATCTATCTATCTATCTTGTGTTGTCCAACATTGTTTCCTTTGTTCTGATCTTTTATCTCCTCTTCTTCTATCTGGAACATTCGTCTTTTTCGTTCACCTGTCTTACTCCACCTTTTCCCTGAATGACGCGTGTTGAACCCTTCAGAGAGGGTAGCAGAGGCCGTACCAACCCTCTGAGCGGCGCAACACCCTGGCTACCAAGGTTCCAGCTGTTCCCTGGACCCAACTACTGGCAGGCTGCAACACCCTGAGCCCTGGGATCCATGCTTCTGAACTTACCCACTGGGATGTTTCACAAGAGGCCAGCTGGGAAGTCAGAGGGAGCCAAGAGGAAGGTGAGGGAGTTGAAGGAGCTGGTCGATAGGAGAAGCAGAGGAGAAAGAGATAATATTGGTAACACATGGAGAGGGATTTAAAGAAGTGAGGGTTCTGGTTTGTGTGTGAGAAAGAGGGAAAGACAGACAGAGAGTTATAGAAAGAAATGGTGGGAGAGTATGCTGAGATGCATACAGACAAACTCTTTGCTTCCCTTTGTACTCATAAATGTAAAAATGCAGTCGAAGGTATTTGAAAATCTAAATGCAAGCGTTTTTCTCATATTGTCAAGAAACGTTTGAAATGCACAACAATTAGAACGTATAAGCACTTGGAAAGAGTGAATTTTTAGAAATGTAGCAATTACCTACTATGTTTAAATTACCCTACATTTTGATAACTGTTACTGTATTAAGCACGTTTAGCAGACAACATCTTGCAACTGATACTAGAACAATATATCGTACAGCTCATCATTACTTGGCTTATCTTTTCAGTGCATCTTCATTTATTAAAGCACTAATTATGAGTGCTATTGGAAATCTTGCCATTTAACATGTCCCTTAGATAACACACATATTTAGATTGTGTTTATCTTTGCTCTTATTTAAATACACAAATACACAATCCACACTGACCAAGATTAATTTCCATCAACAAACAACAAAATAATCCAAAGTTTGTTTTTTTACTTCACTCTATTACTCCATTTCTCACATATATTAAAATATCAAGTGCTCAAAAATGTTTTATCAGCAGTATTACCTCTACATATGAAATTTATTACAGAGCAATAAAGCACACAGTTGAGCACTAGCCTCTTATATTCTCGCTTATTCAATCCAGATAAAACATATTTCTCCTCTTCTTTTTGGTCCATATTTGGCTCTGGCTGAGTGCATGTGAGCACAGTACATTTGGGAGTAACTGTTTGCTACAAGTATTATGATGCACATGCTGCAAAGCTGCTAGAGTTAATTTACATTTCAAAAATCTCACACTGCAAAATAACTGAAACCAGGTTACATCACCCAACCAGTGATACTGACCACATCACGCTATATGTACTGTACCTGTCTAAGTAATGTTATGTATGTGTATTGCTGGGAAGAGAGAGACCCCTACTAAAAAGTCAGGCTTGTAATGCACACATACGGTATATACAGTATATGGCAGTGTAACATGTAATCCACAAGAAGAAGAAGCAGCTTTTTCTGATTATGTCTCAGGGTGGGTTAGGGAGCTATAAATAGCATTAGTCAGCCTTACAATCACACAACTACTGGTTCTTACTCTGTCAAATGTTTTTGTTTGTGGGTCCTGTTTTCACCATCTCTGTGCATCTGTTTGTTTATGTGAGTGGCTGCATCATTCACTCACTGTAGGGAACTCATATCTCTTCACATTTCACGTTGTTCGCAGCTGCAGCTTTCTTTCTCTTTACCTAGTTGTTCTTGGTGGTGTCTCTAAAAAGAGCCCCTCTTTACTGTGAGGTGACCTTGATGACAATAATGATGACTGTGATCAATATTTGAAGAAAAACATTTTTTTTTAAGCAAACAACATAAATATATATGTCCATATTGAGACAGAACTATCTTAATAAGGATCCCTTAGAATGACTTTTAAATTATTTTACTGTGACCAAGCTACATAGACTGCACCTTCGGTTACATGAAACAGGCGATTTACTGCTTCCATCTGGCAAGCTGTGACCATAAAACATCATTATACTCTCATTACTATTAAATATAAAACTATTCAAGTTTTTTTTCATTCTGTTTTTGAGAAGCTATGCATCCACACTAACCTGGAAAAAAGGTGTAAACAGAAGTGTGTGAATGTAGCATGTCTTTCCCTTTCAGCAACAGTTTGCTTTGTGAGCCAGAACGGCAACTTTAGATCAAAGCTAAATACTGCCACCTACTGACATTGAATAGAAAAACAGGACATACAATTGACATCCTGAATAATACCAATGTGGTGGTCACAAATTAGTTTTTTTTAAGGACAAACGGATGTATAGCCCATATATTTCCAACTCACAACTCATTTTTTTTTTTTTAACTCACAGAGACACTCTTTATTATCTCAAGCTCAATCTCTGGAGTAAAACTATAGAACAGTCTCAGTGTGGAACAAAAGCCATGTCTAAACATAAATCAGTTTAAAATTATGTCGGCCTATATGGATGTAGTTTTCACGGTTACAGGCAGGAAGAAGGGGTGACCAATCACTGAGGTTAGGGTTTGTTTTCAGTTTCGTTATTGTTGTTGTTGTTGTTATTTCACTTTTTTGAGTTGCTGAGATTTGTTCTTTCTTCATATGTGTTCCTGTTTTTTTCCTCTTGGTCAGATTTTTCTGTATTACATATTGCATTTATTGAAGGATAGCCCCTTGAAATGCAGCATCTCATTTTCAAGGGGGGTCCTATAACACAAATACATAATGAACAAATACAAAACAGAACATCACAAAACTACATATATTACACATTTACAGATAACACACACTCCCACTCTCACCCACACCCAACACCATCAGTTAATGCAAGGAAAAATAAAAAGTTAAACAATCCTATAGCTTAAATTATATCAATTGAAAATCAACTAACATTCAACCCCAAAACAAAATCACATTATTAATTACTCCGAGTGTAAGTCTTAACAAACCAACATAGTTATACCTGATAGCATTAATAACATGAACATCCTGTTTCAAGAGACAGATCTAAAGATGACAAGAAGCAGCGAAAAGTGCTGATAGATCTTAGGGTAGGATTAAGACTATTCCAATCACATAGTGCTTTATATTGAAATGATTTCCTTCCAGCTACAGTAAAAGTTCAAGGTACAATTAAAAAGGGATATTGCATCTGTGGATATGGAACTCTACAAGAAACTAAAAATTGTTTCAAGTATGGAGGACAGTTAAAGTAAACACATTTGAAAATAAACTTTATCCAGTGAAATTCCCTTCTTGCTTTAGGCTATAGCCAGTTAAGCTAAATTCGCTATTCGAAATTAACACTTAAATAATAATAATAAGGTTAAGGTAATAAAGTTTGGCATTTATGAAGGCTACTGCAATGTCTTGGGCTACACTGATGCCGATAAATCTGCAATACTGTACTTCCTTTCTGTCAGGCATTCTACAGACATAATAGTTATTCCTTTAATTCATTTTTTCACAATGTAAAGACAATCTTGGACTCAACTTGAAATTAGCAAAATTGTAAAATTGTAAATCTTAGACAAATGTGTCCTAGCCTACTAAAACACCATTTATGTTTTAGTATTACAGAGGTGAAGCTCTCGCCATCAATGGATGCAATCTCATTACTGTAGCAAGTTTATTACCTTGTGTCATACTCATCAAGGGTCAAACAGGCCCCATATAAGAGGTCAGATTGCATCTCGGATTACCTTCTTCCTTTCTGTATCTGTCTCTGTTTGTCTCCCTGTCACAGTGTGAAACCCACACTGGCTGCCTGGCGTGGTATTCCTCTGATAAACCTAATGGTTTCTAGTGTTCAAAAGCTAGAGCACTAACTCATACGGACAGGGCAGATTAACACACTGGCCTTAAACGCGAGTGGTACAAGTCAAAGGTCAATACACAGAGAGTAAACTGTGTGCGTGTGTTTGGGAGGCAAATCTCTAGTAAGGTGTAGCAAGATACAAAATCGTTTTCTGAATCCTGGGTGGTACACTTTTTTTGACAAGCATGCACTAAAGCTTTGACCCATAATTCACCATTCAGCATCAATAAAACTCACCTAAGCATTATTAGCACTATTGAGGATATAGACTGTTTTGAGCACACACAAACACACACACACACACACACACACACACACACACACACACACACACAAATACACACACACAAAGATTTAGATTAATCCATATTCCAAATAAAAATCAGATTTTTTTGCGTGTGTTATTATTATCTGCCATTTCATCGTTGTCTTTGTCTGTTTGTGCGACGAATTAAATTACATGAGTGAGGCTGTTCTATGCATAAAACATTGACAGGAAAAAACTAAATCCAGCATAAAATAATTTATACTCCGGTACAGCCGGCGGCAGTAATGCACCTACGAGCTGGCTTCGCAGCCGCCATTATACACAGAGAAGAACAGGAGCAAGGCGAAGAAGAAGACGAGAAAGGCGAAAGGTAGCGTGTTTACATTCTGACCATCTAAGACTTTATTAGTTTCTGATTGATAGGATAGCTAGTACATTAGGTAAGATGTATACATTTTAGCGACGATCACTTAACTGTAGCTGAGCAGAATAATGAAATCCAGTTGCTTTGGATTACAGCTAGCTGCCTATTATAGCTGCCTGATCGGTTTTATCAGGCTAACGTTAGGTAAGGTAATGTTGCGTTAATGCGCTCGGTAAAATATATTATACATATACTTTGCAGCAACGGTCACGCTTAAACAAGAGACCTCCCAACTCATTGTTTACTGTAACGTTGCTTAACTTTCTGTGGCTTGTCGAAATATTCTCATAAAATAATAACTAAGGTTAGCTTGGGAATCTTACAGTAGCTACATGAAACAGACTTTGATTAACGTCAGCGAACGTCGATCCCTCATGCTACGTTTAAAATAGTGATTGTGAATCTCTTAGTATTCTTGGAACTTGGAACTAAGCTGTCATACTGAGAAACATTTCTTTGTAATTTAGAAATTGGTATTGTCTTCCTGTCTCTAATCAGCCACCTGTCTACTGGTTACTACTTATTATTTATTCGTCATTCTATATTTCAGTGCTGTTCATACTATTATATTGTCATATTGTATATACTGTATATATGTCATATCCACCTACCTCAAGTACTCAACACCTGCACCCAATACTAATTTATTCCAGCATCCTTTGCCCTATGCTCCGTGGCACTGTTTACATGTATGCATGTATGTGTGTATATCACATCCACCTCATACATAATATTAATAATGATAATAATAATTTACTCCTGCATCCTTTGCACTCTGCTTGTTGCACTGTTGTCTCGATCTGTCTACATTATTTTTATTTTGGTTTATAGTGTGTATATGTGTTCTGTATTCTTTAGTCTGTGCAATGTACGATCCAGAGTCAAATTCCTTGTATGTGTACACATACCCGGCAAATAAAGCTGATTCCGATCGTTATTAAACATGTTACACATTCGTACTTGTTGACATGCATAATTACATAAGCGTAGTTATTGTAACACGTTTCACCACATATTATACAAATAAATTGAAAAAGGGAAAGAAAAGAGAGAAACACTACTTTTAACCATGTTGACCGCTACACACTAAATATGAAGCACTACATGGTGAATGCACGGTATGAGCCGAGAGGTACCTCTCATTATCCCAAAGGAGATGATGCCATTAGTCCCAAACACAAAATAAGTTTGTGCGGTGTCTCATGAAACACTCCCTGGATGGGACAGTAGGCTTGTTTGCTGCTGTAGTGTTTGTGATTGCTTTCACATGACTCAAAAAACTTTAATCATCATGTGCATTCAAATGGATGTCTGAACAGAAGACATAATCATCTTTTATTTATGTCTTAATATTTTTACGAACCCAGGGATGGATCCTGGTCACCATTTAGAAACACTGCATCACAATGGTGATCACGATGCTGTGAATGTCTCCTCCTGGGTGTCGGTGTGTCCCAGAGGCCTCTGGGAAGTCCAGCAAAGGCGAACGTGTGAGGGGAGTCAACAGACTGTTCCTAATTCTGGAAATGACGCATGTATGATGCTTTCTTGTAACTTCTCTTCTTCAGTATAAATGATCAATTTTCAGTCCATGTTGTTTTAGAATAGAAATGTGTATAACAATCTGGCTCACATGACGGCTTTGTCTCTTCTAGCGCGTTCATCCAGGTACTGTCCAAGGTTGGGTTCCATGTGTCGAGTACGAGTGTGGCTCAGAGCTGACATGGATAGAGCAGAGAGTTTAGTATCAGAAAAGGGAAACGAGAAGCTGTCAGCCCAACCTGACCAGTCACTCACTGAGGTTACACAAGCAGTGGCCACGGCCTTCCCGAGGTGTCAGGACTCCGTGCTGCAGGTCCCACTGGGTGACTGGACAACACTGAGGCTAGGGGAGGGTCAGTGCGATATCACAGAAGCATGCGTGGAGGGGATGAGAGCAGGAGAGAAATGTGAGGTAAGAATGAAGTTAGGACTGATCAATAAATAATCTTAATCATTTGTCAACTCCTAGTGGCACAATAACAATGTACTAAAGATATATATATAAGATTCTATGCAAACTAAGTACAAACAGACTAAATCAATCATGTTTTTTTTGTTTTATATATGTGAAGAGGACAGGGTATTTGCAGGGTATCAGATATTTGCAATATCCTGTCATGGATTGAAAGCTTAGGGCTACTGGTAATAGATGTTTTTCTCTCTGAATAGTATTTGTGGTGTATAATCTAGAAAGTTGGGTGGACTAAAAGTAGATTTTTTTTTATGACATGGTCGTTCAAGATGATGCTGTCATGTCGCCTCAACACCTGAAACTGTGATGAAAAAAGTGTGATACAAAAGGTACTCTGTTACACTGTCAAAGGTTCTCTGAATACCTTTGACAGTGTAACTGTCACCCACATTTCTTGCATCCACTCAACATTTTCAGTAAGCTATTTTGTTTTGGTAAACTGTTTTGTCCAAGGTCACTGGAGACAATTTAGTTTCCATAGCAGAAAATAAAGCTTGTGAGGAAAGAAGGGTGAACTCAAAATGAAAAACACATAATCGTTGGATTGCAAGCTTACAAGTTACTAATAATATTTTCTTTTAGTCTTTATTTTTTCAAGCATGAGAAAGTATGCAGCCAGTCTAATCTTTATGTTTTGCTTCTCAGATACTGATTTCTCCGGTGACAAATGGTCCAGATGTCTCCGTTCCCCATCCTGCTGAGGAAAGCCTGCCTTTACGTGCGACAGTTGAACTCAAAGCTTTCACACCCGGCAAGGAATCCTGGGAGATGTCTCCTGCCGAAAAGTGGGAGTGGGTGAAGTCGCACAAAGAGAGGGGTGGAGTGAGATTCAGGAGCGGGGATGTGTGGGGAGCAGCGGACAGCTACAGTCGGGCCCTCAAACTTCTCATCACACTCTATGGCCATGTAAGAGAGGTGGAGAGAAAAGGACAAGAGCAGGGAGCGGAGGAACAGAGAGACACAGTTGATGAAACACAGCACCTTCCTTCAGCTAGTGAATTCAAAACCATCAAAGCAGAGCTCCACTCAAACCTGTCCCTGTGCCAGCTTAAACTGAACCAGCCAGAGAAGGCTAAGGCCAGTGCGGGTAAAGCTACTCAGCTGGAACCAGGTGGGGCTAAAGCCTGGTACCGGCTGGGCCAAGCCTGCCAGATGGTGAATGAGCTGGAGGAGGCCAAGGAGGCATTTAGGAAACTACTGAAGCTGCAGCCAGAATCGCCTGCTGCGTTGAAGGCACTTAAAAACATAGCAAGTAGAGAAAAAGAGACAAAGGCTCAGTTGGGACTTAGACTCAGCAAAATGTTCAGCTGAAGTTCAAATATGATTATTTTATTGCCAGATGTTGTCTGTAAAATTGTATGTTTCTTCTCGTGAATCACCAGTAAATGGAAGAGCGTCTACAGCCACTGCCTGAGCTCAGAAGTAACCCACCCCCCCATGCTGCAACTCTGTGCAGCTTGTGTGTGAGATACCTTGAATGTAACTTAAAAGTAAAAAACACGTGTCAAAAACTTATTTTGGCGCAATTGATGTAGAAGTGAGGAGGGCGTGACATCGTGGTTGTATTTATTTTAATAAGCCCAAAACGTTACAAATATTGCAGTTCTTACAGTCGGTCACAAGGTGTCAGACTTTACCGGCCACGTGCATACAGTCGGTGGTACGCATAGACTGTATGTGAGAAGGTGGTACGGGCACAATGGCCCGCTGTAGAGAGTAAACTTTGTGTGTGTGTTTGGGAGGCAAATCCATAGTAAGGTGTAGCAAGATACAAAATCGTTTTCTAAATCCTGGGTGGTACACTTTTTTTGACAAGCATGCACTACAGCTTTGACCCATAATTCACCATTCAGCATCAATAAAACTCACCTAAGCATTATTAGCACTATTCAGGATATAGACTGTTTTGAGCACGCACAAACACACAGACACACACAGATTTAGATTAATCCATATTCCAAATAAAAATCTACTTTGTAGATGCAAAATGCCGAAACCCGGGATCGAACCAGGGACCTTTAGATCTTCAGTCTAACGCTCTCCCAACTGAGCTATTTCGGCGTGTTAATAACGTAACATATCAGCTTTTAAGTACTCTGAAAAGGATCATTCACGTTACAATAATTTTATTTGCGAAAACATTCCCACAGAGACAACGCGGTAATATGTCTTCAGGCTATGGTGGTAACAAGGACGAAAAGCCGTGGAGCTTATCTAGTTCATAAAGTCTCAAACGTGACATTACTACGTTTTCACAGTCTGAACGGTTACACCCATTGTTAATGTACTAGTGTATTTGCGTCTTTATCGGTGGTCGATTTGAAAAGTAAATAATTACAACGTTGTATCCCCCAGGCCAGCGCCCTGCATAGCAGCTGCGCCGCCATTTATGTGTGTGATAAGCGGATGAATGAATAAGAGGCAACATTGTAAAGCGCCGTGTCCCATACATAGACTGTATTAAAAAAAAAAAGTCCCATAAGGTAGAAAAAACCTCATTATTTATGCAGTCCATTTACCATCTTAAGGGTTATGAGATGATAAACACGTTAAAAATGTAAAATACGTGGAATACCATATATTCCAACATATATATCGCTGACCAATCGCTGGAGAAAATAACCAGTGGTAACGGATCTTTTAGTATGCCTACAGTAAACATACTCAAGTGATTGGATTTCATAACAGGTTAGTTTTTATCATGTAGGACTAAGCAACAAAAGCAACTACTTGAAACTAGAGCTGGGCGATATTGCCAAAGATTTTATCACGTTAAAAATGTCGTACCATTTGATATTGATAATTATCACGATAAATGTCCAATCATTATTTCCTTTAGGTTTAAGGGCTGATTTTTGCTTTTTGAAGAAACCAGCTAACCAGTGGTTTTAAATTATTCTTTTTGGGCAGGACATGACAAACACTTGCCAAACAGTGGATCACTTAACAAGGTAGAACATCCAAAAAATGAAGATAAAATCTGAATTGGATGAATTTTTGAGTCCTTTTTCCTCAACAAAATAAACATCTTAATAGAAAAATTAAGTGCTACTTCGTGTGGGATTCAAGTGACTGAAATCAAACATTTATTGACGACACACTGAACATTTGTTATGTTGTTATTGAGGAAAAATATATTGCGATAATTATCATTATTGTTATATTGCCCAGCCCTACTTCAACCAAATATTTGCATGTTGGTTCTGCACCCTATGGTTCCACAAGAAAGAGGCACTTAACACCTAAGGCAGTCTATTCTTGAATCTTTGCAAAATATAAACAAAATGAAGATGGTATTGAGAAAACAGGGCATCACAAAGCCAGAACAAAAGACAAAGCTTTATTGTCATATGCACAACAAACAAGTTGATCTTTAAAATAAAACTTTTACTTTGCTGACAGTTACTGGGTATTTAAATTTAAAAAGGCACACGGTGTGACAGGTACAACCTTAGACAAGGCATGTCCAACTCCAAACAATTAGTCATTTCTTTTGACTCTTCTTTGAGGATAGTGTTTTTCTGCAACACAAAGTGTAGGCTCCCCCCAGTTGTCGTTTCCCTTAAATCTCCTGTAGTAATTGTCCTACAGTCCTTTTTTTCTTTCCATTTTCCAGTTGTCAGTTCCTCTTAGACTTGTGTGACTTTGTGTTGTCGGTGTGTGTCTGGGCCGCTGACAGCTGTCTCCATGCATCCACAATGAGCACCAGTGGTATGACGATCCACAGCACATTCATGAACACAAAGTAGAACCAGAAGTAGATTGGGTGTCCCAACTCACTGTGAGCATAACCATCTCTGTGCTCTGTGAAGAAGTACAGCACCGCTCCATACAGCTGACCTGGAATCAGATTATGTAGAGAGACCCTTCATGTAGCCTACATAATATGACGAACTAGATTAGAATCTGAGAACTTGTGAAGTGGCAGATTTTGTAGACCCTCTTACCTAATGAAATGATGAGTTGCAGAACAAATCTATAGGGCCTGTTAGTTAAGAAGGCAAACACAGCCCAAAAGCTAAAAGGTCCCCATAACCATGCAGTCACAGTCTCCATACAGACAGTGAAGTTATCCGCTCTAGATGAAAAAAGAAACATGCAGGGTACATTTTGTTACAACTTTGTTCCTTATTGTTTATGCCAAAGTTCAACATAGTGCAAAGATAAACTCACATTACATATCGGCTGTCTCCTTTGGAGTACTCTTTCCCTGTGAGAGAAAAGTATAAAACATATTGACTGAAAAAGCACTATCAGACTGCACAGTTTATACACTCAACATGTTTTTTTTCCCGTCTTGTTTGTACTCACACAGCTGTGACAGGAAGCTCTGGTCTCCAGGAATAATATCATAATACAGTGAGAACCAGCCCTCAATGACGCCATGGATGAAACCACAAACAGCAAACCAACACACAGCCAGACGCCTCCATGTCCCCAGCCTGCCGGTGGCCCCTTTCTGGCCGGTGATCAACCAGGTCACAAGCAGAAACACCCCAGACACAGAAAACAGGAACACCAGAATTTCAGACATAGATCGGTCATTGGCGACATAGGTGGGAATCAAAAGGTCCCGTGGCCAGTAGGGATGAAGAACTCCAGTTGCTGATTTGGCATCCATCATCTGTTTCAAGGAAGGATGACAGTCTTACGTCCTTAAAATGGATTGATTTCAACATTGTGAAATTAAAGATAATACATATAAGTCAGTTTAATTGATGAATGAGCGCTCCCTGCATTTTTCTTCATTGCAACACACTTATTTACATTTCTCACAATTTTATAAATTAAGTTATTACAGCTAAGGTTTTATTCAAGGTGCTCAATAGCAGACAAAAGCAATAAAAGTGTATTTTGTCCTTACCGGTGATGTTATGGATTGTGACCAAAATAGGCGTCCAGTCACACAGAGTTTAACTTCTGTTTTGAATAAGGAGTATTAAATAAATTCAAAAAGATGAATATCTTGGAGTTCCAATAGTCCACTGCTGTCTAACTACATGCCATATCAGTGCAGATAAACTCAAACCCGGAACTCACCGGAGTAGGGGGCGTTTACTTGTGATTGTTGACACCAATCAGACGACAGCATGCATAGAGCTAGCAGCACATGCGATCTGCTGGTCTGTTCATTGGTTCTTGATCTCGGAACATGAACGTTATCACCAATGACATTGTATGTTTTACTCCAAAAACCCGCCCCCTCTTTTTATGGTCAAATATATAAAAATGTGAACAGTTGGTGAAGGGTGAATTAGCTACGGGACATCACGTAACTACAATTGCATTTGACAGTTAATGTTTGCAATTAATGTTGACTACAGAGCACCATGCAGAAATGAGTGCAATTTGTATGTGAAAATGTACCTGGCAATAAACCTGATTCTGAGCAACATCTAAATGTAACCTCAAAATATATGCAGTTCTAACCGGCTGTAGATCCCTGGGATTTCTGGAGATCAATGAGACTAAATCATATCAATCAAGAACAAGACGTGATATTAAAAACAGCCTGAAAACAAACTAATAACTGCAGATAGATGAACACACCAGAAATTTCACATTGTTGAAAATATTAACTTGGTGCTGCACTGATAAAGTTGTGTTAATTTCCTCATCATAAAACTAATTTCTTACGCCAGACTAACGATGTCTTTATCAGAAGAGGAAAAGTTCTCCTCCCAAGCCGTGTCAGGGATTTATCCCTGCCGTGACCCGGATTCGAACCGGGGTTGCTGCGGCCACAACGCAGAGTACTAACCACTATACGATCACGGCGAGCTACTGGGAGTTATGCTACCAACCTCCACTGAAGGCTTTATGAAGCTGTGTGGAGTGAGAAGGCATCTGTCACGTATTACTACCTTATAAAGTCTATGATTACTACAAGTCTAGTGAAAAGCAGTCTGCCGTCAGAGACCTGGAATATTTTATGGTTAATCTATGTACAACAACAAATACTAGTAGGTTAGTTCGTTAGCAAGCTGACGTTAACGTGTTTGCTACATTAATTAATAACATTAAGTTATCGTTTATTATTATATGTAGAACAGCTTAATTGTTTTCGAAACGTCGTTATTATAATTGGCTAATGTCAAAGTAATTTCTAACAGTTACAGTTGTTGTACCTGTAACATTTAACCTTACATCAGCGAACGTCAAGTTTCACAGCGTTTCATGCAAGCTAGCCTTAGCTAAGATAAAATAAGCTAACTGTTAAGCTGCAGTCAGCGGAAATATGTTAGCTAAACTAACCGATTGTAGCCTACATCGTGGGTTGTACTGTGTATCTTAATGGTAGCTTAACTTTGTACTTAAGTTAAATTGAAGTTTACTTCAGATGGGACCCAGTAATATGAAAACACGCAAAGCGGTAACAGTCACGGATCAGCAGGCACACAGACATTTAAAAATGCTGTATGTGTGCATTGATGTATGTGTCCCATATGGTCTAGCGGTTAGGATTCCTGGTTTTCACCCAGGCGGCCCGGGTTCGACTCCCGGTATGGGAACAAATTTTTTGTTTAATGTTGATTTTAATGTATTTTTACACCGACTTCTTATAAAAGCATATGATTGATGAGCATACTTTTGTAACATCGTTACATGTCAGATCTAAACAAAATAATAATAGTGACGACAATAAGCATGCAGGATTTTAATTTACCGTTATTTACAGATATAGGCTACAGCCGGCTACAGCGTGCTTTGTCAGTATTGGTTGCCATGAAAATACTAAGAAATGACTTCAAATTTTCTCCTGTTAAACCTTCAAAACTGTAATACATATAACACTTTTTCGTTGTTTAACTGCAACGGGTATAATGGACATGTGATGTTAATCACGTGACGCATGTGTCACATGATGCTACACGGAAGCATTCAAGAACTATTATATCAATGCAGTGTATTTTAACGTTGAACAGCTGATTTCTAGTACAAACGACGGCTGTGTTAAACACTGTATGAGAAAGTATTTGAGCTAATACAAAAGTCGACATGGGTGTGACAGAATTGGAGGAATCTTCTCTGTTACTGGACGAAAAGCTGCTCCGTTTCATGGACCAGCTGGAGTTATTGGAGGAGAAACGAGCCACTCTCAACTCTCTCATAGAGCAGGTAGACAGAAAACCATGTAGTTTAACTGTACATTTGTTTTAGCTAGCTTACCACCGTGAAACACGTATCTCTGTTGTATGTGTGTGTGTGTGTTTATGAATGTATGATTATAAGTAATCCTTTTGAAATCGAGCAGAAACGGTAGTTTGTGTAGGTTAATTAAATGTTTGCCAAAAAATTCTACTTTGGTCTCTAAAATGTAACGATGTGCTGTTTTTTTGTAGTATTCTATGCTGGTAAGCTGAATATGTTTGGGTTTTGTACTGTAGGTCAGGCAAAACAAGAAAGTTAACTATGTCAGCTTGGGTTCTGGGAATTTTTCACTATTTTATAACTTTTTACAGAACAAACGAATAACCAACTAATCAAGAAAATAAGCAACGGATTAATAAATGATAAAAGCAATTGATAATTACAAACCTAAATGTTAAAAGTACTTTTTCTAAGAAAAGAATTCTCCCTAGAACAACTAACTTGAACTCTGCCCAAGTTGTTCTTCAAATGTGTGTCCTGAAATGTGTGTACATGCACACATCACACTGATGTTTTTTTGTTTGAAGGCGTGTCTTTTATCCTGTATCCTTTTCAATGACTTTAGCACCTATGTGTAATGTAAAGTTACAATTTTGTGTGTCCTGCAGGGATGGTTTTCCATATCCAAGGCTCGATATTCCATGGGAAACAAAAACGTCTCTGCACTTCAGTATGCAAGTGAGATAGAGCCACTGGTCCGTGTTCATGCTAGGTGAGTAAAAAGACATGTTTCACAGAAATAAGTGGTCCAAAGGTAAATTGTTGTCCACTGGAATTGAACAACGTCAATTAAAACAATGGTATGACTTGGATTTATGTGTTGCAGAACACTGGACAATGGTGAGGTGGATTTCTGCACAGAAATAGTTCAAAAGTGTAGTAATGAGGCTGAAAAAAATGCAAAGTCAATAGAGGATATTGGACCTCAAGAAGAAGGTGAGTCTACCATAGTACATGTGATGTTATAAAAGGATTGTTGTTTACATTTAGCATAAACTAATACATTTTTATATTCATTAAATGATGTGGTTTAATAGGGGTCAGGAGAAGAATCAAACCAAAAAAGGACATTGTAGAGAAAGAGACAAGTGAAGGAGCAAGTAGTGAGAAATCTCCTGAAGTAACTCCAGCAAGAAAGAGTGACCAGAATCCTCAGCAAGATCCACTGAAATGGTTTGGGATTCTAGTGCCTCAAACTCTAAAACAAGCACAGTCGTCATTCAAGCAAGGTATGATGTTGCAATACCCAAAGAGTCTATATTTTGTTTTGGTTTAACACAGTCAATAAACAGTTATATAAACATTTGCTCTGCTAATATGCACTTATTTTAGGATATAACCAAGATTAGGTCATCATTTTGATTTGATATGTACGTACTAGATACTGCTAAGGATAGATATTGCTTTCTTTCTTTCCACAATGTACTAAAAGACCCGTGTTTCTACATTTGTACACATTGCGTCCAATACATACATACATACAGTCCTGTGAAAAAGTATTTGCCCCTTTCCTGATTTCTTAGTTTTTTTGCATATTTATTACACTGAAATGAAATAAACTAATGCATTATTAAGATGTTATTGCAGATTATTTGCTATTCGCCTGCCGTTAACCTACATAACGTAATGGTTTTGTCCACCACCCATACCACCATAGGAAAAGCTTAGTCTTCCCTGATCTTGCTCTTTTAGCAACAGAAACGGCGTGGAAGGATGAACGCAAATAAGTGGAGATTCATAAATATATTTAAATTGAAAAATGCTAAGTTGATGTAAAAATGATGAAATACGAGTTATAAATTAGAGCTCCATATCCAGGTTTACAGATAAAAATCACTCTGCATTTCTTTGTGAATTGTGTTTTACAGACACGAGTTATGTGACAATTAAGGAGTCGCGTATTTGTGGATTTTGTGTGAAACTCTACGGTAGAAGAGTCTCAAAAGAATCCACACAAATAAGTAGAGATTCACAAATATATTTCCATTGGGGAAAAATGCTAAATTGATGTGAATTAAGCCATTTAATTGGAGAATGTGACAAAATACATACAAAATTTAAATTTAGATGAATAGCATTTACGAGCAACTACTGTAAGTGTAAAAAAACAAAAAAAACAATCTACATGACATGACACGAGACCACTGCCTCATCAGGAGTGACGTGTCATAGTTAGGTTTGGGAATAAGAACATTAAGTGATTTTATTAGTGAAAATGGTATTTCTATGCATATGTGCACAATGAAACCTCTGACTACTGGTATCACAGTTGTTAGTGTAGCCTACTTCCTCATCCAGTTTCTTCTCTCCTTTTTTCCCCTACATATAACAGTAGTAGAGCTGTCAGCTGAGATCGCAACCCTTCAGACGGCAGTTTTGAACACCAGACGGGAGCTGAAGCACAGCATGAAAGACAAACGCATTCTCCAGGAGAAAGCCACAGCAGCCCAGTTGGACAAGGTGGCAGACTAAGTGAGGCTAGGGATGATCTGAGAACAGCCCGTGGCCACAGAGAGTGACAGAATGGAGTCAGTAGATTATGCTTCAGGGTCAGTTGAAATCAACAGTGATCCTAATGGTGGATTATGATCTGGAGATTACAGATGTACCAGTTCCTACTGGAAGAATAATTGGTAATAGATTATGTTTGATCTTGTGCTGTATGTGGCCGGTTTGAGATGGATCTGTTTGTAGTTGTGTTGTCGAGTGTTAAAAATTAATTTATAAATGTAAACAGAACCTGTTTAAATATTTTCAATAAATGGTCACTTTCCCACAAGTCACCCTTTATGAACCATTTATGTTTTTAATAATGACTGTATTCATTCTAAATAATTAACTAAAACTTATAGATCAATTATAAGCCATTAATAATA